TTTATTTCGATCCAATCTCAATTTGAGCTAAAATTCAAATCTATTTTTGAGCCATTGTGACTATAGTGCTGCTACTACATTGGTATAAGCTAGTTAATTTTGACATAAATAACTTTTTGGTATTTTAAATTGAGTTTTGGACTTGAGGCTCATTGTTGCTTTTTTTTCAAATTTTCAAATTTTTTTTTTTTTATTTTGCATGAACCCAATTTTTGCAAACTTAATTTTTTGTACTTATTTAGGTTGTAGAGTAGTTGTCAATGAAGAATGATGCATTGCTTTGCAAGGGTCCTTTGAAGCCATTGCACACTGCGTGTAGGTGTATACTTTTTCAAAAATGTGTCGGGATATCTTTATAAATCAATTTGTAAGAGAAACAAATGATTCCATATAAAACAATGGCATGTAACTGGCACATAATGTTATTCATCATGCTTGTAAAACGTAATTTTAGCCTTTAAAAAAAAAAAAAACTTCATTAGATGAATCAAGTAACTTTACTTATGATACCAATGCAAAAAAAATAAAAAAAAATAAAAACTTGAATTTACAAAAACCTCTTTCAAGGTGATATCAACCACTCCAGAACCACTTGATAGCAAGCAATAGCCGCTATACCAAAAATGCTCACTAATGCTTTAAGTGGGGGAAAAAAATAGAACGCTAAGCAAACAAAGAGAGAAATGGTTCTTGGAGAGAAAATTTCCACTTATAGAGATATTTATCTGCTCAATAAGTTGTCAATATGGATAAATACAATACCAAACTAATAATTATTAGGAGGATGTGTTCTCCGTTTAAATTGTTCTATCAGATCACCAACTTGAATGAAAAATAGTGAAAAAGTTAAAAGTTCAACCAAGGATCTTAATACACCAGTTTTCATGTAAAAAAGAGGAAAGGTTTCATGTGCTTTAAAAGTGATGTGGATAAAGCTATGCTATTATGAAAATTGATAAATATGCCACACAACTATGATGTGTGCCATTCATTCTGATGCTTGCTATGTGTGGATAACGTACACCATATTCCAAATTAGTACTTCACATTCCTAGATACGTGGAGGGTGCGCCATATGTGCTTTGTGCCATAGCGTGTGATATTTTGCGTTATTGACAAGCATGGTCTATGGTGAGTAACATATAATTCAAGCTAATTCTATATTTTAATCATTAACTAATACATTGTTTTCTTATATCTCATTTAATGAATTGAATCTCAGTTGGGAGCTCCAAATTTCTCATCATTAAATACGTGAAGGGTGTGCCATTCATCACGATGCTTTCTATGTGTGCATAACACATCATTTTCCAAATTCATACCTCTCACTTCACAAGACTAAATATGTGAAGGGCGCGCCATAGATGCCTCATGCCATAGCGTGCGATATATTGTGTTTTTGGACGAGTAGCGTAGAATTCAACCTAATTTTATATTTTAATCATTGTTGTTTGATTAGACTTTTTAAATTTTGTAATAAAATTTAGAATAATTAGATGTCCTTGTAACAATTAATGGAAATGTAGCCTAATTAATCTATAATTTGACTAAGTTAAACTTTTAATTGATCAATAATGCTAAAATATTCTAGTAATTAATGAATAATTAGCCTTTTATTAAGATATTTTATTGCATTTTAATTAAATATTGGTCAATAAGTATAATCTATGTTATTGTATTTAATTGATTTCTAATTAGCCTAATTAGTTTTACTTATTCTAATTGTTACTAATTAACTATTGATTATCTTACCCAATTAAGCTGGTTTATCAAATAGGCCTATTTATAAAGTAAAGGTAGTTTGATTGATTTTCATTTACTTTATTTATGATTAATTAGCCAACATTATTATCCTACTTAGGGGTGTGCATTAGTCGGTTCAGATGGATCGGTTTTAAAATTTGGCAAACCGATTTGAATGGAAATCTAGAATCGAACTACCGAACAAAACAAAATTTTGATAAAATTGAACCAGTCAAACCGAACTTTAATTCAGTTTGAATGGTTTGGTTTTATATAAACCAAAATATATATATTTGATATATAAAAAAATTATGAAGCACAGACACAGATGCGGACACGACATAATTAAAAAACATAGGACACGACATGTTATAGACATGTTTTTATATTTAATTAATTAATAATATAAAATATAAAATTTTCTATTATTCTTTATTAAGAATATCACGACACAAATTATGTAAGAATAAAATTTAACTTCATAAATTTATTATATTATAAAATCTCACGCTTATGAAAATTGATTTTTAAGATTAGGTGTAATATGTTTCAAAAGAATTTATCCAACTTATAATCTTATTTATCTACTAAAAATTAAAAAAACCTATGATTACAGAGAGAGAATTACTAACGCTCTGCTTTTATTTGGGTTAGATGCACATTTGTTGCTCGATTTTGATGAATCTTAAAGGGACCCTGAACATGACGAGAGATGTGACGGTTTTGACTATACTGTATAATTAAGGCTATACGTATATTTATGATTTTATAAATCCCGTGTTAAATTTTCTCAAAATCGTGTCAAGCTCACATCCGATGCAGTGTTGAGGCGTGCTCCGGACGTGTTTGAGCCTGAAAAAAATTCAAACATTTGTAGTGTCAGAGAACTGTCGGGGCGTGTCAGACAAGCTTTGGTGTTTGAAACGTGCCCGACACGGGCACAACACATTTTTTGAAGTTTCGTTGCTACATAGATAAAAAATAAAAAAAAAATATCCCAAAAACTCTTTATTCGTTTAAAAAACTGAAGCAGTCAATACCTAGACTGCCTAAAATTATGACTAAGTAAATTTCAGTTCTCAGTGGGAACCGAAAATCAAATATTGGCCTTTTAAAAACCAAAATCCAAACTATTAAATCCGTTTGGTTCGGTTCGATTTTCTGGATAAAACCGAACACTGCATGCCCCTAATCCTACTCTATTGGTTTCTAGTTAGTAATACCAGAACTAATCAAAACCAATGGTAATGGAAACAAATTTCATTACGCAAAGGATTAGAGTTACAACCACTACACAAAGCAGAAGCAAAACACAACAAACACAAACTCCAGCTAGGTTCAGATAAGATCTGAGGGCAGCGGTGGTGTCGGCGAGGTGCTAGAAAAGTGGATTATGCGGTTTGGAATCGGTGTTTGGAGGGGTGAGGATATGGTGGCCAATGACTAGGAGGAGGGGGAAGGGAAAAGGGTAGGTGGGCGGCTGCACAAGTTGGCTGAAATTGCGGTGGAAATGGCTGCAGGTGGGTGGTAATGAGAAGGGGAGATAGGTGGCTTATAGAGGGCAGGTTGGGTGGAGGAAGGGATGCAGGGTGGCGGCTAGGATGAGTAGGCCAGTGACTAGACAGGGGATGAAGAGGGATGGCAAGTGGTGGGAGGGCTTGAAGGAGAAGTTGGGATGCAGGGCGGCGGCTAGAGGAGGGAAGATGGTAGGGAGGAAATTAGAGAAGATACACCACCACCTTGGAGTAGGATACTGCTAGAGCATCACCTATTGTTGGATACAACCCTAGCAAGGGGAAGAAGACTCGACACAAAATATAAAAAGAGAAATCACACATAACTTAACCCTAATTCCAACAAACAAAGCATATAAATAGGCTCCAATCTGGTGGGGAAAAAAAAGAAAAGGAGGAAGGGGACAGCGCCAGTGTCCGCCGCTTCAAATTGTTGCTTGGTCCAGTAGGAACATGCACTGGCTTTCCCTAGACCGGTTCTGCTAGTTTGTCTCTCTGCCAGCCAGTTCAGCCGACTCAGCTCAGCCCCGCGTCAGTCAACTTAACAAATTGACATCAAGTAAATTATCTCATTAATTTTGTTATTCACTATTCTTTTGTAAAAAAGAAAAAAATGATGTTTATTTTGAGGATACCTCGATTGAGACTTGTTTCTCACCTTTTGTGAAGGCCTGTTGCACCCTCACGAACCCATTTCCTTTAGTTTCTACCAAAAAATCGGTTGAGACTTGATTTTTACCTTTTGTGAAGGCCTGTTGCACCAGCACGAACTCATTTCCATTTGGTTTCCACCAAAAAAAAAAGTGCTTAAGCATGGGTTTGGAGCTAATTCCGATCACTTTCTGGCACTTTAATAAAACCAAACGGATCTTTAGGAATTTCTATCATATAGTGTAGCCCCATTGTGCTATTATGGGAACTGATCTTTCCATGATGCTGTTGGCTCTTAATTTATAATAAAACCAAACGGATCTTTAGGAATTTCTATCATATAGTGTAGCCCCATTGTGCTATTATGGGAATTGATCTTTCCATGATGCTGTTGGCTCTTAATTTATTGTAATTAATCACAAAAATACAACAGATTCATGTAATGTAGTTAATCTACGTTTCTTGCAACCGGCAGCTATCACTTTGATGTTGCCCCATTTCTGAAGTAGTTGTACTTGTAGGCATATGTAGTCACCCTTTAAGCTACTTTGTCTATATGGGTCTACTTAATGGATCATATACAGGTTTTGGCTTTTATCATTGGCATTATATTGAAACCCTATGAGTCCAGTTTCAATTTATCGGAATTCTTTTGAAGATTGGCTCTTTTGAAGCCCCGTCGATTGGGGAATTCTAACTTCTAAAAAAGGGAAGCTTTGTATCACAGTGAAGGTTTGTAAGGGCAAAATCTTACATTTAGACATAAATGGCTCTGTGAGAAGGCCTTATTGTATCTAGACATGACTTGTATTTATCGTAAATATACTTAATTTTATCTATAAAATGACAGAATATTTGGGATACGGATAATGGTGATGTGATGATTATTAATTGCACCAATAATGTTGCTGAACTTGTTTAGAGGTTTCTTTCATATTAAATAATATACAAGTCTATTTTGAATGATCATCCATGTGGCGAGGAAAATAACTATTGTATTCATTCATCAAATTTATTATGATTTGGTCTTCATATTGTCCTGATAACCTAACATTAGCTATTTTCTCTTTTTGACGATTACTTTATAAGCAGGATCAAATACCTCCATTTCCTTCTCATATTGCAATTAAATCAATCGAGTCTCAGCTGGGAGCTCCAATTTCTCATATATTTTCTGATATTAGTCCAGAACCCATTGCTGCTGCATCATTGGGGCAAGTCTATAAAGGTTAGTGATCCCATTTTTGTTAATGTTTGATTTAGGCATATTGTATCTATGTTTATTGATGATATTTTGTGCTCTCTACATCTAAATGCATACATTTGATATGTCAAGTCATGCAGCTCATCTACATTCTGGGGAGCTTGTAGCTGTTAAAGTTCAAAGACCGGGTATGGCGCTCACGCTAATTCTTGATGCTCTGTTGTTTCGTATGATTGGGGGACAGCTGAAGCGCTTTGCCAAGGCTAGGAAGGATTTGCTGGTTGCTGTCAATGAGATGGTTTGAATATGAAAGGTTTCTAAAAGTAGACAGAAAATGATAGAAAATAAGAATTCATAAAATAAAGCTAATAATAATCATAATGATCACCTTTAAGAGAGAGTCCCCCATCTGTAGAAGTTGAATGCAATTTACGCATGATAGTGCTATGATCACAAACAAAGAAAACCAAATTGGCAAAGTAGCAATATATATATATATATATATATATGATTGCTTCTTAAACAATCTCAATATTATACAGTTTTTCGAAATTTTAATTGCTAATGGCATTCAAACTCAAAAATGGAAGAATTTTATACAATTTAATTGGCGTTTGTATCATGATTAACCTTTTTTATTTTTAATCTTTATGTTTCTAGGCTGTTGTAAACTTTTCCTTGATGCTGGACATGGGTATAACCATTTCATTTGCTAAAAACTAACTGCTAAAAGTGCACAGAAGTTTGTGCTTTTTAAGTGATATAGTTCACCTGGTTTCAAAGGTATCGAGTAGAATAGAATTGTGCCCTTAGTTGTCCTAAATTTGAATGATTTCTCATCATGGAAAACTCATATGCTTATATTTAAAATTTATTTTGAAGGCTCATATTTTGACTCCTGTCAAGCATCCAAATGACACACTACCAAGCTAAAATAAAAATCCCAATTTCATGGTGATTGCAAGTTTCAGAGTTAACTTCTTTCACAACTTATGCAGTTTCTTGGATTTAAAAGTTGGAAATCTCGGGTTTGTAAACATTTGTGGAAGAGAAAAGGGTGAAAATAGTCCTTCATCTATTTGTATGGGATTATTTTAGTCTAAACTACCTAATAGGTTTGATGTAGTCCATTAACTCCTTAATCATGATCCAAAATTGCGCCCGTTAGATTATTTTTGATCAAGTGTGAGGATTCAGGGAATCATTTTTGGATAACATCTGAGGAACCATATTACTAAATTGGATAAATTAGATAGTCTGCAGAGTAAATCACACCCTTCCTCCCTAGCGATCATTTTGCCCCTTTTCTTATTTGAGAAAGTTAACAATATGGGTTTAAATAATTGTAGTTTTAAATTCCAAACTTATTTAGGGTTTAGGGTTTAGGGTGCTCTTATTGGACATTTACAAGAGGATGTGTCTTTCGCGGATGATATCCTTCGTGTGGATAAGACTAGAGAAAAAATTCAGGAAAAACTTGAATTATGGAGTTCTACATTGGAGTCTAAAGACCTTCGTTTGAGTAGATCTAAAATTAAATACTTGTAATATAATTTTAGTAGTGGTAGCTCTAGTGGTATAGTTATAACTATGACTGATTAAATCATTAAAAGGTGTGAAAATTTCAGATATCTTGGGTCTATTGTTCAATGGGATGTGATATAGATCGTGATGTTATTAGTAGTATTCAAGTTGGTTGGTTGAAATGGAGGAATGCATCGGGCCTACTGTGTGATAGAAAAGTATTGTTTAGATTTAATGTTTTAGATTGGACTTATGTGAAGAAAGGCAAAGGTTGACCTAAATATTGTATAAAAAATGATCTTAATCTATTAGAATTAAATGAAAATATGACACTCAGTAAGACACAATGGAGAAAAAAATTCATTTAGCCGACCCCACTTCTGAGATAAAGACTTGTTGCTGTATATATTAAGTTATTGTTTACAAAGTGCACATATGCTTTTTTCTCTTATTCTTTTTTAGAGAATTATGTTGTTTGATGGCTAGTGCAGAATATTAAGTGTTAACATAAAATGTAGTCGACATTATTTACTGCTCATGTCTTCATAAATTCATCAGTCTAGCTTTTTTGGCATTCTGTAGTTTGATGCTTTATACAGTTTGAGTTGATGGTATAGGTTTCATTAAACTTTTAGCGGCTGTATAGATAATGCATGTTATTATATTTGAGCGGTCCTCACTTGCACATGGTTCCCTCCTACTGGGAGTTGGGCTCACTTCTCTTTATCTTGAGACTATATATGTTATTTATTGTGTTTTGGGGAAGTTGTTTGCTTTTATTTATTTATTTTTATTTATTTTTTGCCTTCGGTATCTTTCGCCTTTGCTAGGGCTGTATCCAATGACAAGTGGTGCTCTGGTTGTATCCTGCTCACAAGGCGGTGATTATCTCCTTGCATTTCTACTTCGCTCTCTCCCCTTGCTTGTTGCCGCACCCTTTAGCAACCTGCCTATCTGCTACAGGCCCTTCCAAACCCCTGTTGCTTTCCATTGACCCCCCTTTCAGCTCTCTGCTTGCTTGCTGCCACCCTCCCAATCCATATGCTCCTTTTTGTCGCCCCTACCAATTCCTTTGCCGCTTGATGCCTCCCGTACCAACCTTTCCCTGGTTGCAACCGGAAAGTATTCTTCCCCTTGCTGTTGCTAGATCACCCTTCCACCTGCAGCTCTCCATTTCCACTATCTCAACACATTGCCCACCACCTTCGAACCTTGCCTTAGGGGGTATTTGTGTTTGTGTCATTGCTTTTTTATTTCCAAGTGTTTTTGTGTTTCCTTCCGTTCTGGTTTGAGTTAACTCCAGTATCAATTGTGCTATGATTTGCATTGTTTATTAAAAAGAAAAAAATACCCCGTAGTTGAGTATACATTAGTCCAGGTGGAAGTATGCTGAAGTTCTTACACCCTATTAGCAAAATCGAGGCATATGAATATTAGTTACATTAATCTGAGTGGATTTCTGTGGAAAACTAGGTTTTCCTTTATCTTCTTGTTTTTTTTTTCTTTGGTATCGCAATATTCTCACTAGCTTAAATTGTTGGGATAAGATGACGTGTGGCGTGGACGTTTAGGACACGGGTCTAGGAAGTCTGGACCGGTTCGATCCAGGAAAAATTGAGGGTCGGTCAGCTCTCTAGGCTAAGAGAATGTCGCCTAATTGGAGTGGGGTCCACTCCTAGTTTTCAAGGACTATATATTTAATTTTATTGGTGTTTAGGGTTTAGTTTTTTTTTGTGATTTGCTTTGAAACGGTTGCTGACGTCTCTATCCCTTTACGGGTTGTATACTAGGGTTCCATGTGTTGCTTCGACTGTATCTTGGTCTTCATGTTGTGTTTATCTTTCCTAAACGTTTCCTCCCAGAGAACAATGGAGATGTTGTTTTTAGTCTCCACCTCCTGTGGGGCACACTCAAAGTTGCTATTTGCCCCGCCCACCCCGCAACCCACCCACCCACTCTTGGTGCCTCTGCTTAGGGACTGTCACTTGGTTTGTTGTCCTCCTTCCAGCTAGTTAACCCCGTCCTTGAGACCACCCTGAGAGGTCCACACTCATCGCCGACATTACCTACGCCCTATATCCACCCTAGTTCTAGTGTTATGCTATTGTTTTGTTGCAATTTTGATTTCCCTTCTATTTGTTGTAATTTCAGATTTCGAATTTAGTAATAATATTTGTTTCTCCTTGGGTGTTTGTGAAAGTACGATTTCATTTTGTATCAGAGCTAGCCTAGTCATAGTTTCATCTTAGTGTTACCCTTTTTTTGCACCCTAAATAAGTGTTATACATCTTTCACCTCCCAAAGCTAAACCCTAGCCATTTCATTCTGGAGACAAGTGTCAGAAGCCGATCGAAAAGTTACCACGGAAAAGATGTAGAGGGTAATCTGCGGACCTCAACAAAGACTTGGTGAAATTAATAAAGGGACCGATAGAGAGATTACCGTGGAACGTGATAGTGAGTCTCAAAGAGGATAGAGGGAGGAAAATTTGAATCCCTTCCACAGGGTTGATTTTAGTGAAGAGTATGATAGGCCACGATGCTTTGAGATTCAACGTCAGAGGCGGTCGAGGGATGGAGTGATATTTGGATGACATGGACATGTGGGAATAAAGGTAGACTTACCATATTTCAAGAGAAGAATGGATACAAATAACGTCATTGAGTGGTTGCATACTATTGAGAGAATTTTTGAGTATAAGGAGGTGCAAATTGATGGGAGAGTGAAACTTGTTGCCATAAAGTTGAAGAAAATTGCCTTTTTATGGTGGGAGTATTTGAAGAAAGTTAGACAGAGAAGCTAGGAACCTTGAGAGAAGAAGGAGATGCAAAGGAAGTATCTACCCCCACGGTACCGCCATGACATGTTCTTAAGCTATATCACTTACATCAGGGGGAGTTGTTAGTAGAGGAGTTCACTATGGAGTTTGATCAGCTCAGGCTAAAATATGAGCTGATGGAGATAGAGGAGAACACCATAATCGAGTATTTAGGAGGTTTGAAGTCAGCCATCATTCATGTTGATCAACTATAACTTTACTGATCATTGAGTGATGTTCAGACATTGGTCCTGAAGATGAAGAAAAAGTAGAATTAAATCAGGACATTTGAGCCTTTATTCAGATAGTCACCCACATTAGGAGTTAGTTGGAGTACATTCGAGGAAGGTGTGAAAATTATCTAGAAATGTGATATAATTGATTGGAGTGAGAAGCCCGCGAGGAACATTACACCTATCACAGTGGCCACAATGAATTGTTTTGGATGTCATGGGTTTGGACGCATCGCCGCCTGTTTCCCTACTACCCTAGTTATTTTTTTCACTAAGTAGTGGGTTGTGGTACTAAAGACATAGAAGATAGTGAGGAGATGCAAGAGTACCAACTTCTAGATGATGAGGGAGATATACTTGTGGTTCGACAGGTCCTTCAGACAACAGCCACAAGAGAGCAGCAGTGGCTTTGCCACAATATCTTGTATCCCCGTTGCACTATGAAGGGAAAAGTGTCAAACCTTATCATTGATGGAAGTGATTTTGAGAAAGTGGTGTCTACGTAGATGGTGGATAAGTTGAGTCTCATCACTCAGAGACATTCTCAACCTTTTTTTTTCTGAATTTGTTAAAGAAGGGCGACATTATAAACATTTACAAGAGATACCTCTTTGAGTTTTCTTTTGCAGATCAGTTGTGTGACCAGGTTTTATGTGATGTTGTACTCATGGATGCCTTTCACATCCTATTGAGAATACCGTGACAATTTGATCACAAAACTCGACATGATGGGTTTAAGAACGTTTACTCATTCATCAAAGATGAAATGCGTATAGATCTCCTATCTTTTACAGTGTTCGAATTTAAAGGTTCTCCTGCCATGAGAGAGGCACTAGTGGAATCAATTTTAGTGATGTTAGAGAGTAGCGAGACAAAAAAAATGATATTCGACATAAGACAATCACCACAGAGATAGGTTCATGATATTTTGATCGACGTCTTACTGCCAAAGCTGCCACAATCAAGGGAGGTTCGACTTGTCTTCACCTCAAAGAGGAATGAGCCAATATTGAGCTACTTTTGAAGGATTCTGCGGAGTACGCTTGGCGCGAAGTTCCTGTTTAGTTCGACAATGTACCCACAAATTGGGGACAGTTAGAGATAGCTCGCAATGCATGAAACTTTTTTAGGTGTTTTGTGGGACATGTGCTTCTAGAAGCGCAATCGAAGACCCTCAACCAGGAGAGTATAATATTTATGCTACATTCAATGTGGTAGTCCTAACTCTATACTATGAGAAGACATAAGCTTCGACTATTGAGGTCTAGGCTTCTCTATACCTCAGAGATTGACGCGGGGCGTGGACATATGTGAAGCGGGTTGTCTTGATTGATTTAGTCTAGAGGGTCGGCCGAATCTCTTGGCTTAGGGATTGTTGCCCAATTGGAGTAGGGTCCACTTCTAGTTTTCTAGAACTATATATTTGCTTTTGTTGGTGTCTACAATTTAGTTTTTTCTATGATTTGCTTTGGGATAGCAGCCGACGTCTCTTTTTCCTTCTATGAGCTGAATGTATTCTAGGATTCCAAGTGGCGCTTCAGTTGTATCTTGATCTCTCATCATTTCCTGCATCGATTCCCTTCACCCTTGCTGCTTTCCCCTTGTTGCCAGTACCCAGAAAACAGCGAAGCTATTGTTTTTACCTTCCACCCCTACCGCCACCCCCAAGAAACTACAAGCGGCTGTTTATTCCCTCCACCCCTGCCACTGCCACCTAGGGACAACTGCTCGGTTAGCTGTCCTCCCCCTTAGAGCTTGCTAACCGCCTCCTAGGAGGTGCATACACCTAGCTAGCATCGCCTACACTCTAGATTCAATCCCAATTTTAGTGTTGTGTTATTGTTTTGTTGCAATTTCCAATTTCCCCGTTGTTTGTTGTAATTCCAGATTTTGAATTCAATAATAATATTCGTTTCCCCTTGGGTGTTTGTTAAAGTTTTGTATCATAAGGTTGATGATGATGTATATATATATTTTATTCAACTAAAAGAAACAAGATTTTATACATGAACAAGCAAGTTTTACTTTATTCTTTTGATTGTTTTTTGTTTATCATGCGGAAGCACATCATCAAACTAGACTTTATGTTGAAAAATCTTTTACTTGATGTGAAAGAATAACTCAATTCTTTAACCTCATATTTTCTTTCATTTTCATTCGACCTAAGATCTAGAAAGTTTTCATTTTTTTGTTTTTAATTTATTCAAGGATGAGAACTTTTTTTTTTTTTGTAAGCCACCTTCCTTGTTGGTTGAGAGCTTGGTCTTTCAAACAAGAGGTCTCGGGCTCAGTATTTGTGATTAAATTTGCTCGGTGACACCCCTTCCCCACAAAAAAAAAAAAAAAACATTAAAAAAAATAAAATTCTTTTTTTTTTAAATTCACTGAACATTATGTGTTGTACAAATTCTATCGGTCATATTGTCAAAATAGGATTGCTTTAGAATGCTTGGGTCCACTTTTTCTAGTAACATTGGCATTTAAATAAGATTGCGGTGGTTATGTTATTGTCCATGATATTAATTGCATGGCTTTCTATGTTCTGCGTGCATTATTCTTGTTTATATGCTAATTATAAATTTTGAAAATGATAGGTAAGGCACATGTTTGAAGAAGTCGATTATATTCTTGAGGCTCAAAATGCTGAAAAGTTTGCGTCTCTATATTCTCTTCCCTCTAGTAAGTTTTTATACTTTTGCAAGCTTGTACTGTTAGCAGTGTACTGCGAAGTTGAATTTTGATGTCCATCAAGATTTATCCCGGTATAGCAATTTGTTTAGTAAAAGAATCTTAGAAACTATTTGGTTTTAGTTGTATATTGTGCTTCGTTCTCGAACAAAATATGCAACTTTCTTAGCTCATTAATTATAGAACCATCTTTCAAACTGTATTTGGCATCACAATGATCACTCGTGAGGGTTAAGTGTGATTATGATGAAGTCAATGATGTACTACTGTTGGATAATAAAGAATTTAACCATATAATTTATTCCGGAAGATTGATAAAAACATAATAATCAAAATAAATTGAGGCATTTACTTACATACCACGGGATTCTCATGCGTTTACCCAATACCTGAAACTTCATATTTACGTGCATACAACTCAAATATATAACATCACGTCAAAAATATCACTTACTATCTTTTTAAAAATGAATTACAGCTTTTCTTGCATATATTTATTGTACTTTAGAGTGTTATTAAGAGTGTGTAAATATCAAAATTTGGGTGTTACACACACGTTAGAATTGTCCTATGAGGATATTGTAAGCTTAATCTATCTAAGTGTTGAATTAGTCCTCAATTTTTTTTTTTAAATTAGGGATGAAACCTTACTACCATCCAAACTAACGAAAATTAGCAAGTTGTTAAAAATAGAGATTTTTCTGGATTATATATATTTTCTTATTAATTTAAGTATACCTAATTCATTACTAACCATATTTCCTTGTATTTAATTGCTAAAGTACAGTAGGAGTGGATTGGGATCGTGTACATTGCAGAGCGAGTTTATCTTTTATGATGTAATTTTATTTATTTTTTATTTTAATTCCATTGTAATGTAACTTTATGACAATTTGTTTGAAATTTAAATAATTATACAAATTTTCATGAAATATTTATTTAGAAAGAATGAAATAAATATATATATATATATATATATATATATATATATATATATATTAAACATTTTATTAAGTTTACTTGATACATATATTCCAATAAACTAAAATCATTTCCTAGAAAGAAAAGATTTATTTATTTATATTGAAATTATTATTTTTAGAAAAATCAAAATATATATTTTAAAATTAATTATTTTCATCAACAATTTTTTTGCTAATATGCTGGTATAAGCATGCATAGATGTTTGGAATTGTATTTCAACATTTCGATTTATCTTTGATTCTACATGAATGTAAAAAATATTTTTATCACAACCAATGGGTTAAAATTAAATTAAGGTTAATTCTATAGCCTTGTTTTTGTAGCTCAACTATAAATAAGTTCTTGAACATATTCTTCAAGCAAAAAATAAAAAAATAATAAAAAAAGGTGAAAAAAAAGGAAAAACATATTAACTAAAATCTTTTTCTTAGAAAGAATAAAATTTGTTTATTTATATTTGACAATTTTAATTATTTTCTTCAATAATTCTCGAACTAACTTCAATAAAAACATGTATAGTTTGTTTGCATCTTTATTTCCTTATTACGACACATCTCATGTTTTATAATTAGTATGGACTTAAGAAAACTCTTCTTTAACTCATCTAAAAGGTTAAAATAAGTAAATTCATGGCCTTCTTTATGTAGCTGGAATAAGAGAAACATTTTGAACATATACTTCAAGAAGAAAAATACTAATCTAAACAAAATTTACTAATTGATTATACGACCAATTGAAGAACAAGTTAGAACATTAAGTATTTGACTCTAATAGTACTCTTTTTTGTTATCATTTACAATAGGAAGGAAAAAAAAAATAACAAAAGCTGCATGTTGTCATTCAAAGTCATCAAACCAAAAGTGTTGATGTGATCGTTGAATTGTTTTTCCCAAGCAATTTCATTTAATTGGTTTTTTTTTTCTTTTGGAGCTGTACACCTTTAGAAATGAGAAGCCCTGGATAAATTCACATACAAAACGTACAGTAAATATTCAAGCAAATATTTTTATAAAATTATAATTAGCTTTTTAATTAAAAATTCCCCTTTGCAGCTTCGGTTTATATTGTGATTGTCTCTATTTGAAGATCAATATAACATTTTCAATGGTCCTAAAGAAAACTAAAATAAATTAAGTAAATATAGTGTCAACATTGAATTAAATTTTGGAGATGTTTATAAATATAGAACTCTTCATTTTACTCGTGCGGATGGATGCTTATGATATTTGATGATTACCAAGTTCTTTAACTATTTTGTGGGTCTCATCATTACAACTTCCCAGCTTCCTCTTATCGTAGCTGCTGCTATTTTGTCCACTGTGCTTACATTTACTACAATAAAGTATGACTATATCTCTATTTTGTTTCACTCGTTGAGAATTTATTGGTTATTCATCATGAGTCCTTAGGCAATGATGGAATCTTATTCTTTATGACATTTACACATGATATTGTATTTATAAATTTTCTTATCAATTTTTATAAAGTAACAAGAGTCAGCACAATCCTCGTAACCGACATTACAACTTATATGGGTGCACAATGTATTCGAGTTAGCTTCCACCTCACGCTATTACATGACTTGTTCTCTAAATCCACAATGTATTGTGCCACATGAATATGTTACGTCTATGCCTAGTATAAGGGCAAGTTCGTCTTTTGTATGCATAAGGACATTTTAGTCTATTATTATTATTGTTGGGTATAAATAGGCTTATTATGTTTAGGGTTAGGTTTATGCATTAGACTAAGTTGTGAGTCTTTAGGTCTAGGCTTTGGGAGAGATTGACTACCTCTCGAATTGTAGGAATTGGGAGAGATTGACTACCTCTCGAATTGTAGGCGCTTATCTTTTGTATGTGTGAGTAGTTTGGATTATTGAAGAAATAGTGTTTGCCCTAATTTTTGTAAAAATTCGAGTTGATTTTGACGTCAGATCGTATCAAATGGGTATCAGAGCCGAATGGAGTGTATGTTTTTTTTTAAAAAAAAAAAACTTTCGTGTTCTGAAGAGGGAGGATTCTGGGAAAGGAATGTAGGATTTGTCTAAAGAAGACTATTCCTTTATTCTTCTTCCCATTTGTAGAAGGCACTGAAGCAGGTTTTAAGATTCCTGGTACAACAACAGTAAAAGCTTTTTTTGAGGCGTGGAAAGGTACAATTTTCTTCTCACGTAGTTGGTAAGCAACAATGGGATCACGGCGGACAGAGTGATCGAACCCATCATTTTTACAGTGTGAACTCAAAAATTCTAGAAATTTTAGTGGTTGCCTAGCAACACCATTTCTTCAGATTTCGTTGCTAGATCGCAGTTTTGCAGCATTGGACGTTACGATTTAGACTAGCTGGAAATCATCGACTACATTTCAGCGTATTGAGGATTTCATATTTTGTGATCGAAAATTTTTTTGGGAGTGAGGACAATCAAGAAAATAGACAATTTGGTAAAGAAATTGGAGAAAAAGGTGGGACAACTCAAATCTGAGATAGAAGGAAGGTTCGTCACCACAGAAAATAGATTTTTTTTTCTATAGAGAACCAAATGGAGGATGGATTCGAGAGCATCAGAGAAGGGTTTTTGGATTAATATGGATTTTGGTACCATGCTATTTGTTCGTAGATATAAATTTATGCTTTTTGTCATTTGGGTTCCACTGTTTATTCAAGTTTCTCATTATGCTTTTGTGGATATAATTGCACTATTTCAAAATATATTTTCAAATTTCTGCTCTTTTTGCTGGTAAATTGTATGACTTTTCAGTGGGTTTATCATGCTTTCCCATTGTGTATGGAGTGCTATTGAACATGGCTGTTCATGCCAGTACCCTTAAACATCTGTTTTACACCGGTTGATATCTTACTTGCTTGTCAGGAACTGGTGAGGGCAAAGGACTGAGGCTATCTTCCGTAAAAGTTCCCAAGATTTATTGGAACTACACCCGTAAGGCTGTGCTCACTATGGAGTGGATTGATGGGATTAAACTTATAGATTCTGACCGGATTTCCGAAGTACATCTAAACAGGAAACTTTTAATTGATCAGGTTAATGCTCGAATACTTTTAGTTGATTTGGTTTATGCTTTGATTATCTTTTAATATGAGTTCCATCAAAGTTTATGGTGCATAGAGATGAAGCAATTCACTATGTGCTGATTAGTCATCTATGAGTCAGTCAGTTGGTCCAACTCTATTATGTAATTGATGCTGTCCGTGTTCCCAGCTTTTCTTTAATTTTTTGTTGTTTTCATGATTTTGATCTTTATTATTATGAAGGGTTATGAAAATAGATCCTTGTAAAGTGATTATCTCTTCGGTCTTGTCCTTGTAAGATTTTAATTCTGCTCCTAATTTGTTTTCTGATATTAAACATTGAAGTCTTTAAATATTTTCTTTCAGTCATTTTTGGGTTCCTATTTGATAGCCTTGTTAAACATTTGCCTTACTCGAACTATGAGGCTTGGATACTTTTATATGGTCGCTGTCTCTGGCTTGAAAAAATGTTGAACTGGATCTGTGCATATAAAGCTGGATATGATGTGGTTTACATGACTTCAAATTTCTGATATGTGAAGATAAAGAAATAGTTTATATGGCCTATTTATTATTGACACCGATTTAGAGTTCCTAGACGGTGTGGATGGATCGAGAGATGGGTTAAGAATTAGTAGGAGGAGCAATGGTGGAGAAATGAATGATGGAGATTGAAATCCTGCACAATATGCAGCAGGAAAATGGCTGGACAGCAATATGAGAGTAGGAAACGGCAGGTAGGCATCAGATGTGGAGGTAAAGGAAGGTATTTGGATGTCTAGAAGAGTTCATCACCTAGATCCGGTCAGGCTATAAGCACATCATCGGAGAGAGATCAAAGACTAAAGAACAATCTCTATTGCAAAAATCAAGCCAAAAAAGTAAAAAAAAAAACAAAAAAAAAAAAAAAAAGGAAAAGAAAAAACGCCAAGTAGTAAGTCTGATAAGGTCAAATAGGACCCCAAGGGGGTCACGTGGGCCAGGGGTACTGGATGTGTTAAACCGATTTAGCAATTAGACTGGTACTTCCAATTTCGGGAATTTCTTTTCGCGGGAAAGCTCCATGTTCTGCATCCTGCCATGAACAGACGCCCACGTTATTCTCGCCAAATGTGATGTTCATTGTCTTTATCATTGTAAGCATCTGAGTCTTCATAATAATGCGAAAGGAAGATGATGTTGAAGGCTAGCAAAAATATTGTGGTCAATAGTTAGGTCACTCTTTAACACATTGTCGTTAACCTTCTTAACAATCTTGAATGGGCCATCACCTCTTGGTTTGAGCTCCTCGAAAGAAATTGCCTGAAACTTTTCATTCTTCTATTACAAAATAATTCATGTATTACCTCCGAATATACCAGATGGTAAAAGATAGTATTTTTGCCGTTAATTTCTTTATTCGGCGAAAAACGGTCAGCTAGAATATCGCTGGTCGGAAATGCCTTTCTGACTGAATTCTTTTTGCCGTTAAAAAAGTTCTAGCGCACTTTTGGCTGAATGTCAACCTAAACCTTTTTCAGTTGAATAATCATCGGAATAGACCTACAAAATTATCAACTTACCAATTGATATGTCAATCGTTAAAATTACCAGATTTCACGATCGACAAACTCACCGCTTACAATCTGACTGCAATTTTTGTCGGTCCATGATTAGCGGCTGAAATTTCATCTGTTAATCCACCGAAAAAATTATACTGATAATAACAATAAGCTTTTATTTCACTAAATGGGGTTGGCTACATAAATCCTTTTCCTCCATCGTGTCCTATTGAGTGTCATATTTTCATTTAATTCTAATAAATTAAGATAATTTTTTATACAACATGCCTAGGACTTTTTAGGTTTACCTCTGTCTTTCTTAACATAAGTTGAATCTAAAACATCTACTCTCCTAACTTGATCATCATATAGCCGACCTTTAATATGAGCAAATCATTTACGACGACTCTTTCTAATCTTATCTACCACTGTAGCTATCCCAACTCTTTCACAAATATATTTGTTACATATTTTGTCTTTAAGTGTAAGACCACTCATCCACCCAAGCATTCTTATCTCAGCAACACCTAGTTTTATGCTTCTCTTTTAGAGGCCAACATTCTTCACTATAAAGTAATGCAGTTCTCACCGCAATCTTATAAAATTTTCCTTTTAAGTCTAAGCAATACTTTTCTATCACACAATAGGGCCGATGCCTTCCTCCACTTCAATTATCCAACTTGAATTCCACTAATAACATCGCCATCTATATTTTATCACTTTGAACAATAGACTTGAGATATCTAAAGCTTTCATTTCTTTTAATGATATGATCACTCATTTTTACAAATCTGCCACTAGATCTATTACTGAAATTACATTCCATATATTCAGTTTTAGATCTACTCAAACGAAGGCCTTTAGACTCAAACGAAGGCCTTAGATCTACTCAAACGAAGGCCTTTAGACTCTAAAGTAGACCTTCATAATTTAAGTTTTCATGAATATTTTCTCTAGTCTTATCCACAAGAAGGTTATCATCAGCGAAAAGCATACACCAAGGTACATCCTTCTGTAAAAATTTAGTAAAAGCATCCATAACTAAAGAAAAAGGATAGAGCTTAAAACTGATCTCTTATGTAATCTAACTGAAATAGTAAAATACTTGGTCAATCCAATACTTGGTCAATCCTCCTTTTTTTGTTTGAACACAAGTGACAGCTCTAGTATACATATCTTTAATAACTTGAATATAAGTCATATCAATATCTTTCTTTTCTAGAGCTTTTTCTAAATCAATAAAAACCATATATAGATTCTTCTTACTTTCTCTATACTTCTCCATCAAACCTCTCAATCAATGTATAGTTCTCATAGTACACTAGCCTGACATAAATCCAAACTGATTGTGAAAAGTCTTTGTATCACGTCTTAAGCTATGTTCAATTACTCTCTCACAATTTTAATGTATGACACGTTAATTTAGTTAAGCTATAATTTGCACTCTTGTGCATCCCTTTTATCCTTAAAAACGTGAACCAAAATACTCTTCCTCCACTCGTTGGACATTTTTTTGGATTTTAAAATAATATTTAAAAGTTTAGTAAGTCAAGAAATTCTCAAATCTATTAAATATTTCTACACTTTTATTGGGATGCCACCAGGTATTATTGATTTTTCACCCTCAACCTTGGTTTTCTTTAAAGTCTCATAGACTTTCTTTTTACTAATGCGATAGTAAAAATAAAAAGTTTTGTTATTATATACGATATTAAGATCACTGAAGTCAATGATATTTTCAAAGACTTTATTGATAAGTTTATCAAAATATCTCACCCACCCATGTTGAATATCTTTATCTAAGAAAAAAATATTTTTTATTTTTCTTCTTTAATACACTTCTTTTGAATTAAATATTTACTTTTCTTTTCTCTTTGTTTGACTAGTTTATACGTATATTTTCATTATTTTTAGTGTAAAATTTACTATAAAGATTGCTAAAAATAGAATTTTTAGCATCACAAATAGTTATCTTAGACTCCATTTGGGCCATTTTATATTTTTCCTAATTCTCTAAGCTTTTATATTTAAATCAATTTTTATAATATAACTTATATTTTATCTTTTTTTACACATTATTATTCCACAAATTATTTTTATTTATAAATATTTTTTTTCTTTTGATTCGCTAAGTACATCTTTTGCCACTTGTTTAATATTATTTGCTACTCTATCTCACATGAAATTAGTTTTTTCATGAACATCCCAAATCTTAAAATCTTGAAGTTTGCTCATAAAAATACATTTATTTATGTCTTTTATGTATCATTTCTAATTCTATGTTCATATTTTATTATATTTTTTATCTTCTTTTTTTTCATCTTAAAATCGAAAACTAAGCCTCACATGGAATTAGTTTTTTCATGAACATCTCAAATCTTAAAATCTTGAAGTTTGCTCATAAAAATACATTTATTTATGTCTTTTATGTATCATTTGTAATTCTATGTTAATATTTTATCATATTTTTTATTTTCTTTTTTTTCATCTTAAAATCAAAAACTAAGGATTAATGTCTTATTTTCACTTGAAATGATCTTATAATTTTTACATTCTCAACAATCTTTTTTTTCTTATAAGAGAATAATTAAAATTTTTATTTAACATATATCTAAACAAACCTACTTGAGTGCATAACCACTTATAACCTTAAGAATCTTAGCATCAACAATAATCTTTAGGGTTATAATTCTATCTTCAATTCTATAAATTCTTAAGACATTATATTTCAAACTCTTATCTATAATTACACTTACACCCTTGCTAATATGATTCCTACATAAACACCAAAATTTAATATCGAAGTTATCAGTCTCCTTAGCATTTTCTCGAAGCCATTTAGTTATTTGAATGCATAAAATATTTATCTTTCTATGAACCATAATATCTATTAGTTCCATTAATTTGCCAGTGAGAGTACCTATAAATCAAGATTATATCCCAACATAGTTTCATGGATTAACTTCTTGGTTCGCATCCGTTCATATTGTGGGAACCCTTGCTTATATAACATTACACCCGGGAACCAATGTGGCATTTCTTGCACATTCTTCACTATATTCAGGCCATACATTGTGTCGTTTTCAGGGGACGCCCAAACATTTATACAACAATTTGAAAGGTTCATATCATAACTCGACAAAATTTTACACTGATGGTCAACTATCTAATACAACCCTCCACTTTTCGTGAAAAAAATTGTAGCGAAAACAAAAATTTAAATAAGAGCCATAGCCAAATAGATTTTTCACACTTTCAATGAAAAAATGAAATGCATTACAATAATTTTTAGAACATCTCAAAATAGTGTAGAAAAACAGAGACCTTCTCAATGAATAAATCATAATAAAGATAACAATTAATTTAAATAAATCATCCAATATAAGAATATTGTCTGTAGAATAAATTTAAAGAAATAAAAGAATGCAGATCAACATAGAAAAAATAAAAAAAAATATGTCTTGCCGGTCC